GGTACACGTCAGCTTTTAGATGTCCCCCATTACTGATGGAAATCTCACAGTCTAAGAAGGCTAACCTGCCACTTTTCATGTCCTCCCTGGTGAATTTGATGTGTCGGTCCACTGTATTAATGTGATCCGTGAATTGTGGTCCATCCTCAGATTTGATTTTCACCCAGGTGTCATCCACATATCTGAACCAATGACTTGGTGGTGTTCCAGGGTAGGATAACAAAGCCCTCTTTTCCACTTCTTCCATGTACAAATTGGCCACGATGGGTGAAACTGGGGAGCCCATGCACACCCATGTTTCTGCCTGTAGTACTGACCCTTGTATGTGAAGTAGGTGGAATGAAGACACAGTTTGAAAAGCAAACACACTTGGTCAATGCTGAGAGTGGTCCTGTTGCTGAGGTTGAGGTCATCTTGTAATCTCTTACGAACTACCTCCAACGCTTCCGTGACTGGGATGCAAGTGAAGAGAGATGTGACGTCGTACGAGACCATGGTTTCTTCTGCCCCCATAATGACATCTCTCACCTTCTCAACAAAATCCAGGGTGTTCTGGATGTGGTGTTCAGAGCTGCCTACCAATGGGTTGAGGATCAAAGCCAGAAACTTGGAGATGTTATAGGTTGCTGGAATTTATTCTGTTTCAACAGGAAGAACTGAATATGTTACTCATCATAGCTTAATGGTACAGAAATACACAATAGTGTTTGTCTGCTACAGTCTGCTTAACAATTATGGCAGCACCTTGTGGATGTTTAGCAAAGCTTGTGGTAGCTAATCGGTAAAATGTTAGACATGTTTTGTCCTGCTGAATTTTTCCCTGATGTGCACGGTTCAGTCACTCAGGTCATGTTTTCTTAACCTTCAGATTAGTTCATCAAAGCTGTGACAGCAAAACTGAGGTGAGTCCGCTGACTAAAACAGAGAACTGTGAAGCGTCACTGGACCATGACAGCAATTTCTATGTTCGGTTTATGAACAACTTATGAATAAAGCTTACATGCATGTGTTTCCTCTGGAGTCTCTGGTTTCAGTCTAAGCTTTTAAGGTTAACTGGTTTGGGTCAATGACTGAGTTTTAATTTGTATAATTTTTGCTACATCTGGCCACTTTGTGCCCTCTGGTGCATGAAATACTGATCCCTGGTGGATTTTCTGTGAACTGCATGTGTCCAATTCACAAAAGTAAAATAAATAAAATGATGTGAAAGAATAATAAGAAATAGAAATAAACAGCAATAATGCAAGTACTATATATTAGGGTAGAATTAAGTCCAAATATAAAGTACAATTAGATGTACATAGTCATACTAAGGTAGGACATACAGATTGTACAGGTGTTATTATATAAAACTGTATTATATTGTGTACATCACAGTTCAGTAATCAGGCAGTGATTCAGTAGCCTGATGGCCTGTACAACCGCACATGTTGAAAAATAACACTTAACCAATATGTTGAAATTTAAACGTGTCCGTACGTGATGAGCTGGATATGTTCAGTGTTACTGCTACCTCACAATGTGCCAAAGGTAACTCTGTGCATGTCTTTGAGATTTGACAAAACTGCATTTGTTCCTCTGGAACCAGCTGGAACGAGCTAACACTCCACTGCTGTATGCAATGAAGGCCCTTCACTAGTCAAACAGAGACGCGTAAGCTTGTGCAGATATCATTAATGAAACTGTTTTGCTGTTTTCTGCTTTGAATTCACATCCGAAGTTGCACATTGCTCACTTTTTCCTCTGTTCTGCTCTGCTGGAAACTAACTGCTCTGCTGATCTGTGGGCGGCTGTTTGCTTCCAGTAATTATCAGTTAGGCCTCTTCTTCTCTCTATAATCAGTTACAGCTGCCATGTCCTTCGTCATCCTCCCTCTCCCCTAATAACCTTTCTCCTTCCCTCATGACAAGTTAATGAGGGACGTCCAGTGACCCCCCAACAGGGCACTAAACACCAGCTATAAGACAGCGAAGGCTAAAAAAAAAAAAAGCAAAACCGTGTCACTGCAGTAAGTGAACACTGCACAAACACCAGAGACAGGTTCAGCGCTCCATGTGGGCACACACTACTACTTTGATTTAATCCTGAATTATATTTAAGACACAGGGTCTTCAAAGTAGATAAACAATAAGGCAGTACTTTTTACATGTTTGTAGTGTCCTTTGTATTTTTGTCTAATGTGGTTAAAGTGACCTATTCTTCTGATCTGACTCCACATTTCTATTCTTGGACTCTACTAGAAAAGCTTTGCATGATTCAGAGTTCAAAATAATCATGACGATGTGGGAGATGCACCTGACTTTACATTTTCCAGTGTGGCTTGATGCCCCAACCTCGCTTTAACTGAACTTTCTTCTGATTGGCTGCCCTTTAAATACAAAATACTTAAATAACAAGTGATTAAAATTCTAAAATATTTGGTGATGTACGATTGTGACAAGATTGAATAAATATCAGTTTGTAGAAAATAATAAATCCCCCCCCCCCCTTTTTATTATTGTCTACACACTATTGTCTCCCAGTTTCAAAGTGATTTAATTTCAAAAAACTACTAAAGAAGGATGTTCCACATTATTAAGCAGACCACCATTTTCAAGCAATATAAGAAGAAAAAATGATCCCTCTGCTGCTGAAAAGAGTGAAATAGTTGAATGCCTTGGACACATAATGAAAACCAGAGATATTTCACGAAAATTTAAGCGTGATCGCCATAATGTTAAGAGATTTGTGGCTGAGTCAGAGCACACATGGGTTCATGCAGATAAAGGCACAATGAGGAAGGTTTCTGGCAGACAAATACATCAGATTAAGAGAGCAGCTACTAAAAGGCCATTACAAAGCAGCAAACACATATTTGAAGCTGCTGGTGCCTCTGGAGCCCTGTGAACATCAAGGTGTAGGATCCTCCAGAGACTTGCAGTTGTGCATAAACCTTCTATTCGGCCACCCCTAACCAAGGCTCACAAGCAGAAACGGCTGCAGTGGGCCCAGAACTACACGAAGACTAATTTTCAAACAGTCTTGATCACTGATGAGTGCAGTGCAACCCTGGATGGTCCAGATGGATGCAGTGGTGGATGGCTGGTGGACAGCCACCATGTCCCAATAAGGCTGCGTCGTCAGCAAGGAGGTGGTGGAGTCATGTTTTGAGCCAGAATCACGGGGAAAGAGCTGGCCGGTTCCTTTAGGGTCCCTGAAGGAAAAGTATGTGGAGTTTCTGACTGACCACTTTCTTCCATGGTAGAAAGAGAAGAACTGTGCCTTCTGCAACACAACCATCTTCATGCAAGACAATGGACCATCTCATGCTACAAGGAACACCTCTGCATCATTGGCTGCTATCCGCATAAAAGGAGAGAAAGTCATGGTGTGGCCCCCATCCTGACTTCAATCCTACTGAGAACCTTTGGAGCATCCTGAAGCAAAAAACTATAAGGGTGGGAGGCAGTTCACATCTAAACAGCAGCTCAGGCAGGCTATTCTGACATCCTGCAAAGACATTCAAGTAGAAACTTTCCAGAAACTTACAAGTTCCATGAATGCAAGAATTGTAAAACTGCTATCAAATAAGGGGTCCTATGTTAATATGTAACTTGACCTGTTAAGATGTTTTTGATTGAAATAGCTTTTGATTTCAATGAAATTGATCTACTAATGCTGCAAATTCAACAAATGACCATTTTAAATCCTCTACAACCTATAAAATCTTTTGAAACTCTGTGTGCGTAATAATTTGGAACAGTGCATTTTAAGTTTTTTGTTTTTGAAAAACATACTGTTTTCATTGGGAGTTTTGTTCAGTAACATTTGAATTATACTCTGTTGGTCGATGACTCGAAAATTATGCCGACTGTCATTTGAATCGACTATTTAGGAAAACTGAGAAAAATATAATTTGCATAATAATTTGGAACGCAGTGTATATATCTGTTATCTGTTATAATCTGTTCATTGTTTCCCCTTAAATGGAACCACGTTTGTAAGGGAAATACATTTGTGAGTTGAGCAGCAGAGTTGAGTATGCGGGTTTTGTCCACAAAAAACTTGCCAGATCTTCTCTGCCAAGGCCAAATAATTTATTCTTGAGTCTTGTTTGGTTTAATTTAATGGATTGGATAATTGAAGTCTGAAGAAACAAGACATAGCAACAGTTTACAGTCTATTCATTGAACAAATGGACCTCAGTACCATGTGGAAGAACCATACAGAGCCTGGTACTTCCTCCTCATGCTGGTCACCAGCTCGTTCACACACTGCTGTGGGATGGCATCCCATTCATCAACCAGCATTTGTCAGAAATCAGCCTGTATAGTTGTGTTTTTGGCATTGGCAGAGAAGATTTGGCTTTAGTCAAGAAGCTTTGTTACAACAAAGCAAACCAACCAAACACAAATGTGCTTATTTTCCCCCTTAGGTTTATATATCTATACATATCTGCCAGCAAACTGAGTTCCCAAAGACCCAGAAAGTCACTGGAATCCAGAGTCAGGGACATTAGTTGAAATACACCATTTTTACAGCTTTGTAACTGTGATGGCAAAAGAAATGTGTGAGATTTCAGGCAACACCTTCTAGTATTTGAAAATGTGCCTAATTAACCAACTAGTGAAAAAAAAAAAACCCTAATCTTAACCATTCACCTGACATGTTCACCATTAGGAGGTTAAGTAAGACAAGCAATGAAGGTCTCAGTTTCCATGGATACAGTTCAAAATTTTTTGCCGTTGTCCTCTGTCATGCCTCAATTTTTTCTATCTGTTGTCTTTTAATATTTAATGTCCCCTATGCATATCTTCCACAGATTAATTAAATATGAAAGGAAAAAATGGCCATAATTATGCAAACTCTCATTAAGCAAAGTATTAGTGGATAAAGTAACTGAGCTGTAGCACATTTTTCTGGGCTCCCAGGAGCACTCCCGGACTTTAGTTTTAAGAACGTCTCAATTAAAAAGTCCTATTATCCTTCTCACTTTAATTCTCTCCCACTCTTTCTTCAAGCAAAAGGTTTTAGGTGGCGACTTCTACAACAAAGTGTGCGGTCATCTGAAATTGCTGGAGAAGGAGTACTTTGGCCTGGAGTTCAGACACCACAGTGGCAATTATGTAAGAAACGCTGGATCACACAGATATGCACAGATCAGTGCGGGAGGTTTTTAATGTCTTAACAAGTTTCTGTTGCAGGTTTGGTTGGAGCTGCTGAAACCTTTGGTCAAACAAATCAAATGTAAGTCATATCTGTCCTAAGATTAGTGCTCTGACTTCATATTTCCTCCAAATATTTCCAGATCTCAGCATCTCCGTCTGCACCATTGTCCTGCATCTATAATCTCTTTTCTTTTCCCCTCTGTCAGACACCAATGATTTATTCTTCAGGTTTATAGTCAAATTTTTTCCACCAGATCCTGGACAACTCAAGAGAGGCCTCACCAGGTAAAGTCTGAGCATAGATGAGCTATATGTTCAGCATAAGTGAAATGCCACAGTAGGTGTACTCATACTGTTTTGTGTGTGCACAGATATCTTTTTGCCTTACAGATCAAGCAGGACTTGTCTAATGGCAGTCTGACCTGTAATGACAACAGTGCCGCCCTGCTGGTCTCTCACATACTGCAGTGTAAGCATCAAAGTGCATCACGCCTGCTGTAATTTTTCTTTTTTGCTGCAGATTCAGAAAAGTACGGAGCCCCGCAAGGGACATGGGAGAAACAAAAATACGATGAACTTTTGCGAGATCTCGCAAAAGTAACTCGGGATCTCGCAAAGCTTTTGCGAGATCT